TACAGTAAATGTAAATTACGTATTCAATACAGATAAAAAATATGGCAACAAAAAATCTACAATGTTTACATTAGCCTTTTGATGGTTTGTTTGTTATTATTATTTTGACAAATGATAAAGTGTGTTTAAGTGAAAGTTTATTTTGTATTAAATTTTAAATAACATCGATCGTAGAATAGTGTAAACGTGAATATTTCGCAGTCGCCACAAAACAACGTTATCGTCAGACAAGGACATTGCATTGTTAAAAAATGCTTTATACTACAATTTATTTATATTTTGTTCACGCTACAAAGCATGGTTTTAAGTTCCGTCCAAATTTACCAATCCTCTTAACGACAGGCACAAAAATAGCTCGGTCAAGAAGTCAAATTCACCACTTTGTAGTGCTAGCCCAATGTACGCTCTGGGGCCCATTTCATAATAAAGTACAAACTAATATTATTAGTAAATCAGCTGATCGCCCAATGCAAATCTAATGGAAATTACAAGTTACAAGTTGTAACTTGTAGTTTATTATGAAATGGGCCCCTGGGGGTATTTTCTTTGTAAAGGTTTAAATGTGATTGTGTAGAAACAGAGGTTAAATTCGTTTATTTTTCTCCTAAAGTAAGAAATTTGAATAAAAATAACAGTTCCGTGTATTTTTAACAGGGTGAGCTCTAACAAGCAAATAGATCCAACATCACTCAACAACAAGTCTTTATTGCCTTTCGAGGAATAAGTCCAGCAGGAAAATAACTCGTTCTCTCTCGTCTTTTATGCTTTTCTAAACCATCTTACCCTATGGATGTTCTGTTTTACTACCGTATATTCAACCCACTTATCTTCATAACTCATACTTAAAAACTGTGAGCCATTTTTCAATTCTAAATGGTTCACAATGTCTCATATATTTACATGTCATGTTTTAAAATATTTAATACTAGCAGAGTACCCTTCCTTCGTACGGGGTTTGCGTATAAAATAAAATTCTTATTGTAGTTATACTCGTGCTTTGCGTTTGAAATGGGAGAGGACACGGTTTAAGAAAATATGGTTCTTTTTATTTACGGTATGCTATAGTATAGCACATCTACCATAGCTATGATGTTCTACCACTGCACCTAATAGGAAAACATTGTGTATCACAGTTTTTTGTTGCTGCTTTGTTCAAATTAGATGTTGTTATAAATGCCAAAAAATAACAGTGCTCTACCCTGTTGGTAAATCTTATAACTTTTTTTCGGAACGTGAGCTATCATACCAAATTTCAACCCAATCTGACCAGTGGTTAATGCGTGATTGAACTTCAAACAAACAAACTTTCACATTTATAATATTACTAGCAGAGTACCCGTCCTTCGTAAGGGGTTGGCATAATATAAGTATATAGAATGCTTATTGCAGTTATACTCAAGCTTTGCGTTTGCAATGAGGGAGGACACAGTTTGATAAAATTTGCTTCTTTAAATTTACAGTATTCTATAGTATTACACATTTAACATAGTAATAATGTTCTACCACTTCACCTAAACAATAGAGAAAAACAAATGATCAAAACTCTCAAAATATCGAACACATTTTACATGAAATTAAAAACATAAACATAACTGTAAACAATCCTACTTTGACAGTCAGTTTTCATGGTGGAGGGTCCACCATGGTCAGTTCTCATTGCGTATCACAGTTTTTTTTTGCTGTTTAGTTCAAATTAGCTGTTTTCATAAATGCAAAAAAAATATAGAGCTGCACCCTGTTGGTAAATCTTATAACTTTTAATGCTTTTGCATATCATACAACCAACTTTATTTAGTTGAAACAGCTGACTAAATTCTTTAATTCCCTTTAAATATTAATACTCATAAGATTAACATGGGAAACTACAGAGCCACTGGGGCGGAGCCCGAAAGGATTTAAAAAATAAGAATATGCCTATATGTTAATCGGGAATGTGAGCTATCATCATGCCAAATTTCAGCCCAATCCGTCCAGTAGTTAAGGCGTGATTGAACTTCAAACAAACAAACAAACAAACAAACAAACAAACAAACAAATAAACAAACAAACAAACACACAAACTTTCACATTTATAATATTAGTATGATAATAATAGTTTCAAAATAATTTATCACAACCTACGTAACATGCATGTTTACTTTAGGTGGACGGTATATTGTGTACAGAAGTGTAATGGAAAGCTTTATCGATTGTTATGTAAGTTACAAGGACAAAATGCTTTGTACTTGAAAGTTGTCAACAATACTAGACATACTGTCAATTATTTAACTTGGCGTGAATCAAGTTTGATCGTTACGTCATTGATTACTAAGCAATTAATTGAAGTTGTGCATGCCAACACTTCCTGAAGTAAGATTAATGTATTTAATTATTGGAAAAATTCGTACTCAGTCCGCTTTTTAAGGTTTAATATCACAGTCTAAATCATAAATTGAATTCAATCCAATTGTATTATTTTACTTGATAATTTATTCACGTCATAACTTAACATTTTAGAACCTTTTCACCTTTGCAATAAGTAATTGAAAACTGTCAGTCTTATAGCTCAGTCTGTAGTCGGTGAAATAGCTCTTAAATGTTTCGTTTGATGTTGATAAATTATGAAATAAAATATTACAATTAGATGGAATTAAATTTTTGCGAAGGGGAAATTGTTGTTAAATTTTAGTATGACGTAGATAAATTATTGTAGAATATTGCAATTCCATAGAATTTCATTTTGCTGAGGGAAAATAATCTAAAATGTTTAGTTTGATGATAGTTTATTATTAAATTAAATGTTGCATTTCGATGGAATTTAATACTTTACTTTAATATTTTTAATACTGTTCATTGAAACGGCGACCATACAAAGTAGGTATTTTAAGCGAAGTATGAATAGAGATGAGTGGTGCTATCTTGTCCTTATGTGCGTATTTTAACCCAAATATGAGTGAAGGATAAGTGTAGGATGAGTGGCGCGATCTTGTAGTCTTGTTAGTGACTAAGTCCGACATGTTCCTTAGACACAGCTGTTAATTAATAGCCCATACGGCTAATGGCAACTAAGGGACCTACGTTTTGTAGTAGAATACGTACCACATTTTTGCCTTGGTATTAACGAATTAGTCTAATTATTAGGCTAGTACTGAAGATAGTCGTAGTACTCACTATTGCGGATTAACTCCACACCAGGGAGTATCGCATCCACAGTGCATGCCTATAAATATCAACAATTCGTGACCTCCTAGTGGCTGGATTGCAGGAAAACATTTAATTTTTTATTAAGACTGTAAAGTGAAACTTAAAAAAATTCGACTGAGTACGAATTTATCAATAGTTTTAGACTAGGTCTCAGGAAGTTTTTAAATAAATTGCTTCCAATAATTACATTGTAATTGGTGACAATAATTATCGAACTGCACACACTTCAAGTTTAAACATTGACAGAGTATGTTTAATCTATGGTATACATTTCAAGTACAACGCATTTTGTCCTTGTAACTTACGTAACAATTGATCAACATTCCCATTACTCGATACTACCAAGTTGCTTACAGTGGTATACGTAATTAGTGCATACAGAAAAGTGAACTACTGACAAGATCATAAGATATGTAATGCCCCCGTGAAGACGTTTAAAAGGTTCGTTAAAATGTATGAGAAGGTAGAAGTATTCATTTGACTTCAGCACACAGATGCTTAACCCTGTGTAATTAACAAAATTACTTTTGCTAACAAAACTTATGAAAAGTGAGATATTAAGACATGTGTTCATTAAAGCCATAAGGAATTATGTTATGGTCCTATTATCACGTTTTTAAGGTCCGTTTTATTAAGATTTTTATTATAAATTGGGGATTAAACATTTTTGATCACTTACTGCATGAAAGCTGGCGTTTTCTGACTGAATAGTTTATAAGGCTCTAGTTTATAAGAGTATTTTTGTGTGAGGATTTAAAAAATATAGAGAAATATTTAGTGGTCAGTAGCGCACACGTCAAAATTGTTGGCAAAAGGATGAAAATAATTCTACCTCCAGTAATCAAAGTAAATAGTCTCAGCTACCTAAGAGAGAAGCTCTTTACATTAATGGATTTTAAAAATTAAAATACCTTGTGCTATGAAGGAAATGTTTAGGTTAAATTCTCAATAATTTGACAATCTTAAAATAAATTGAAAATTCCAGTATTTGATGAAGACTTTTAAAAGTTAAAAGCTATTTTAGAAAGAAAGGTACTTAATTTTTAATGTATTTCAGCTACGGTACTTTTATGAAATAAATATGAATGTTAAGTGTGTTTGTTGTTCAATATTGACTACTTTAACTTTTACTAAATTGTCTTAAAATTTACCCTAAATGACATATTACAGTTGTTTCATAAATTGTACATTATTATACAATAAGTGTTATTAAGCAACACTCAAATATACCACTTGTAAGAAATACTCCCATAACACCTACGAATATATAAATAACTTTTACTCCAAAACAACTATAAAGGTAACTAAAACTACTATATTTAGGTAATAGCCTACACTTTATTTATCAATTGCAATTGATTTATAACTAAACAAAATCTAAAAAAATTGTCGTATATAAGAAATTAGCGTGTAAACAAGTGCTGCCAGTGCTTCAGTCGGGTTGTACAATAATTTTCGTTGAGTAATTTGTTTTAAATTTAAAGAATAAGTTTTAACTATTTAAAAAAAAAAATATGTAAGGGATTATTATGAACACTTTTATACGATTATTTAAACCAAATCAACACAACGTTTCGGGATCTGAAATCTTTTCCCGTCCTCAGGTGAGGATAAACTTTAAAATTAATTATTTCTACACCCAACCAAAGCTGGACATATTGAGGAAAATATCTTATTCCAGGTATCAAAATTTGTGAGAACGTAAACAATAAAAACTGTCCCCAAAAAATGAACTTCACAGTACTGTAGGTGTACTAGTAATCTATATTGTAGGCCTACTGAAATACAAAACTTCAGGGATGGTAGATAAGACTTACTTTTGGTACTGGGTAGGTTCGGATGTATAACTGATGAGCGAGAATTTGAGTGTATAGTCACTGACTCACTGAAACTCACTGACTACGCTGCCGTGTTGTGAAGGCCTTGCTGTGGTCGTGGCAACCGGCTTGTTACTCGACACGTCACGTGATCCCCCCTGCCCCCCTAGACCCCCCCGGCCCCCTAGATCCCCCCCTGCCCCCCTAGACCCCCCTAGGCCCCCCTACTTATACAACAAAGTGGGCGTTATCCCCTGCACATCCTGTGGTCTTCAAGGTGATACAAGTGAGGAGACAACACGGAACAAAATGCAACTGTTCATGCAATAAGATTCCGTAACTAGTGTCCCTGTTGCTCGAATTCGAGCAATTGCTAAGTATTACAGGCGTTATTTTAAAACAGTCATAATTTCTGATGACTTCTCTCTGATTCGACTCAAAGATTTTGGAAATAATCATGATGTACATAACAGATCGATATAATCACAATTTCTTGTAAATATCTTATCATTTTTCAAAAGCTGATCTTGTTTTTTAGTGTTTTCTACAAATAGTCTTACTCGATAGCCGCATTAGGTTGTCCATAAAATAACGATTATAAAAAAAAAACATTATTTCTATATCTTCTCCTAGGTGGTGTTTTATGACTTTCCTATGTTTCCATAGTTTGCGAATCGGCTCTTTCAATGATAACTAAAAAATGCAGCACAGTGTTAATTCAGTTTTATTTTTAGTATATCAATTTATCCAGGCTCTCTCGCTTTTTTCCATTGTAATATTTACGTCAACCCAAAGTAAAAATTTAATTTCAACCAAGTCAGTAAATGTTTTTAGCAAACTGTTAAATTAGCAAACTTATTGACTGTTTACAATTAACATAATTATGTTCTTCTTTTCACTTTTAATTTCTGACACATGTTAATCTTATGGAGAAATATGAAACTTTAAAGGGCCTCACTCTCTAATTATTTCCCTAAAAAGAAAGTTTCCTGCACAACTTCACGTTACGCACTTTCCAATGAGACCAAAAACATGGTTGCTAGGCTACATTAGTTTTTTTTATCTCAAGGATAAAACAGAACTTGCGGGAATTGAGATCAGCTGATCACTTTTTGATCTATTAATATGGAGAAATTATTGTTCTCGTCATAATTCTCATTGAGCTTTGGGTGGAAATATTTGTTTTTGGTCCTCTATTGTTTTTTTTTTTTTTTTTTTTTGGGTGGGGGGGAAATCACCATTTATATTGAAGTTATAGCAATTTTCAATTTTATCCCAAAACGGTGAGATTAAGAAATCCAAAACTTTAAGTGTATGTTAGTATTGGTCATTACCTATGTACTTAACTTACTTTACTTATGTACACTTAAGTAGCACACACCAAATCCCATCAAAAATCGAACAAACGATGTAGTCTGTAGACACATCCACACACACACATCTCTTTGAAAACCATATGGGTTCAAGAGGACCAAAGAACGAATATTTTTATCTTGTATTTATATTTATATCATTTAAAAACGATGATTTAACTCTATTACATTTTTATTCATTTTCTATAAATGTTGGAAATTCAGTAGTTTTATATTTATCAACTACAGAAACTTAATAGTTAACAAAATTGCATTAATATAAAACTAAAATCATATTAAAATTATAGGGCTACATGCCAACACTTTTTATTGTCTTAATTCGTATTTAGGTCTATTTACGTTTGTCACAAAAATATATTTACAAAAAAAAAGGTCTTATGAATATCAAAGGCCAAAATACACCTATTGTTCTGAAATTGTATACCATTAAATCTTTTAAAACAATAGGACAAAGAAAGAATGAATGCTGAAATTGCGTCTGTTGGCTAGAACAAGAAATTTCAGGCTTTTAGTACCAACTTAGATTTATTTCACAACACTACAAACCAGCTTTCAAAATCACTGATAACGATAAGTTAACTCTTATCTCAAGAGAAAAGTAAATTGACAATGTGAAGTGTTTTGAATTTTAAATCTTAAAACAGCATTGCAATCTAGGCTCAACAATGAAATTATATGGAGTAAGCCTACGATAGGCTTAAACTACTGAAATAGAGCCAGTTAGTTAAACAAGGATAAGACAAAACAACGTTAAATTCCCGTAGTTGAACTGTTTTCAAATAAAATGCTGACATACCTCTTTTGAATATTCAATTTCAAGCAGACGAGAACTCAATGTAAACTTTTCCACAGTTAAGAGGTACTTTTGAACAGTTTTGCATTCATAGTGTACAGTACCGCTTCTAGAAGATCGACTCTGCAAAAACGTACTTGTATGCTTCGTAATTGTTGATATTTCATTTATAATTTACAATACAGTTTTTCACAACAATGAAATGAAGTTAGTCACTGGAAATAGACCTTTCGACTTGTAAAACAAAAGGCTTGTTTTGGTGTGTTTCATGCCTTTGTTTGACAACGATAGAGTACGTGGAAGTGTAATAAATGTTTCTATAGTATTTTAAGGTTACATTTACAGTTTGTGCATTTATTTTTGGTTTAGCTTTCATCTCTGTTGTTTTTTACCACAGAACAATCAAGGGTAAAAAATATATATATTGTTTGTCGATTTTCCCCCATAGAAGAAAAACTATTATCTTATTCGTCATGTTAAGATCCAAGCTGGAGACTAGTCCTTTGTTCTAACGACCACACTAGGTTAGGTTAGGTTGAGTAACCACTTTATTTTAAGGTAAATGTTTTGTAATAACCTAACCTAACCTAACTGGTGTGGGTCGGTGTAACATAAGAGTACCGAGACTACTATAACAATTTGCTTTAAGGTTCTTAGAAGCCAAAAATATAAGGGTTTAATCTTTGCCAATGTCAAGTCGAATGTTATAAACAGTAGCTATCGAAAAATTATGCGAGAATGTTAAGAAAGTCTTTAAATAGTTTTTGACACGTCACAACTCCTAGTTTAAATTTATTACAGGGAACTAGTTAAGGAAGAATTACAGAACTTATGCATCCATGGGACTTAGTTCTTAGTTTAGTTTTCTTAGTTAGTTTCTTAGTTTTTATACTACAAGAACAAACGGTGATGCAGTATTATAAATGTTTTGTAATTTTTCAATAGCTGCCAAACAAAGCGACAATTTTCTCACTACTAATACTAATCAATATTGCTTATTTCTGCACACTTTCGCTTCACTGTACTATTCTTTTTATTTTACGCTCTTTTCCTTGGTCAAACTCTAGATTTTCATTTAAAACTACGAAATAGTTTTAACCTGCCGTAACCAATTGCTACATTTAAATTATTCACTTTTTAATAAAATTTAAGAACACGATAAGAATGGTGAAATTTTTGTGTCAAATCAACATAGTAAATAGAAATAGCCAAAATATGTTTGTTTGATCAACTTTTAGGCAAAATGCAAAAATTGCAAGTATAAACTGTTTTTCTCTCCTCATACAAGGAAAGAAGGGCATTTTACATGATTGTCGATACAATTATGTAAAATGCCCTCCAATGAAAATGTACATGATGATTTTATAACCGTAGAAATAATGTAATTCGTGTGCCAAATTACGCTTTGCATACACACTAATGACTATTTTCCTGTTAATGATTGAGCTTGATGAAGTTAGCTAAAATTGATTTACCTAATTGAAATGTCAAAGCAACTAATTGATCAAAGTCTTCTGAATTGCAAGTTGGATTGATCTGAATTTGTTTAGCTTTACAAATTATTGAATCACACAATTTGTTAAGGACTGAAACAAACGAGTTTGTAATAATTACTACAATTAATCTCAGAACAAAGTTAAAAATATTCTAATAATTTTATTTTTATAAATTGTGTACTTCTCTACAAATTTATGTTTGGAGATAAAGTATAAACGTATTATATCATCATCATTTTATATAAAATGGTTACCACAATTATAGAAATTTCAAATAAAGTGTAGATGTTTTAGGAAAAAAGACCACAGGGGCCAGTTGGGAAACATAAAAAAACTACATACAAAAACTATCGATAGAACAATTTAATTACTCTTATGTGGTGTTTTTTTTTTAAATAAATGCACATAAAAATATAAACAAGTGTGTAGGTTGAATTTCATTGGCTTTGACAAGGCAAACATTAGAAATACATCGCTTGAGGACTATCAATACACTACTGTTACATCAACATGAAACAGGAAAGAAATATTAAATACCCAACAATAAGCATTGTTTAGTTAAACCCAATAAAATATATTAATATTATTTATAAATATTTTTATTATTATAAAAATTTATAATATTTTAAAATACAACAGCTATCTTGAAAACTTTGACTTAGGCTTAAACTGTAACTGTGTCTGGTATCCAGTTTTGCTGATCATACCTTATATTTGTACGGAGTAGCAGGGCTGATTCGATCCCTCCTTCTTCAGTTTAATGATTAATTTGTCATCTAAACGGACAAGAAAAACGCTATTTGTTGTTAAAAAAATTTGTTGTCCGATGACATTATAAATGCAAAAGGTGTTTAACATAGAAATTTTGCACGAGTGGCTTAGGAGTTTACAGAAGACTGTATATTCGGACGAGACCAACAGTTTTTAATGAGAAAGTGGTTAAAGTTAAAGGAACTAACTGTGCTTGCTGATCAGTGTGCTGAGGCTTTAATATCCGAAGTCAGTAGAGACGTTTTCTAACACTTCTTGATCTCTTGCTTAGTCTCATTGAGATCTGAAGGTGAAATTCATGTCTTGAGACTGCAAATTACAATGATTTGCATGACTTGTTTTCTATTACCTTTTTATTTTATACTAATCTACATTCTATACTAGCTATATAATATAGATTCTACATTAACGTTTGCGTGTGATACTCGTGTTGTGGGTTCGTTGTCTTCATCAACACCATCATCTCTCTTGTTGTCATTTGTTTCAGCCACAGATTCAATTATTTGTTCGTCACTCAATTCCTCTTCTGTTTTGCAATCAATGTCAGCTGTAACCATCCATTCACGTACATCATTAGACTCAACTTTCGGTTGTATATCCCTCACAATCGCTGGTGTCTACATCTTCTTCAACACTCGTGTCAGGTGCTGCTGCTTCTTGTATTTCACCAATTGTTCCTGGTTCTGTTTCATTTTCATTGGTTTT